ATATTTTTATTTCTATTACACATACATACTTTTTAACTGTTATTTTCACATGACTGTTATCAGGCTCTCTTGTTCTGGTTCTCATGATGATAATCCCGTGTCTTCCAGTAAGTTATCTTGAGCTTACTTCATCTGTAGAATGTCTCTTTACTTTTGGTGAATTGTACTGAGTCCAGAATAAAGGCTAGTTGGCTGTACAAGATACAAACAAGTATTACGTTTTAGAAATATATGAAATGTATTTAGGCTGCTAATTTAGCTCTAATACTAATAACTGCCACATTTTCAGGACTATAAATCGCACTTTTTTCATAGTCTGGCCGGTCCTGCCACTCCGGAGCGACTTATATAACAAAATATGTAGGCTACACCGCGCTGCTGCGGGACAACTCCGACTCAAGAATGAGTTCCCCTGTCCCGCTGGGAGGCTTTCAAACACCGCCTTCCTCTACCGGAGACCGTGGCGCGCTGCTGCGGCGCATTATTCGGTTATTGTTACCGGTACCTGTCTTGCAATGTGAAACGCTCGGTCTCAGATTTTGTAAGAAAAATAATAAAATTTCCCCGTAAAATACGACTTATACATGTTTTTTTTCTTCTTCATTATACATTTAATGGCTGGTGCGACTCAGGAGCGACTTATGGGCCATTCCCATCTGTACCGGGTCGGCCCGGGCCGGGTAGCCCCAGTCAGCCCCAGCCTGGCCCGGTTGATTCCACACATCCTTGCCTTAAGCCCATGTGGGCTGATTCTACCCACCAATCAGAGGCTTGCTCTAATGGAAGGTGTGAATTTGCTGTCAGCAGTGGGTGTGTTGGCCCTGGTCGGCCTGAAGCAGACCCCCTCGAGAAGAGGGCTGAGAATGAGCCTTGGTTGGCCCGGAACAATACCAGGCCACCCAGATATGTAAACAACCTACGCTACCCGGCCCAGGCCGACCCGGTTTAGATGGGAATTGCCCACTATAGTCCGGAAAACACGGTACGTTAAAAATAGTGAAAACTTGCTCAAAGCAAAAATATATTTTCATTACGGAAATAACTTATAAATTTACCGATTTAATATTTTTTTATTCACAGAAAGGTACTTTCATGAAAAAGCGCCGCAAACCTCCACCTGAACTCCATGCGGTCCATGGGTGTTCCACAGAGTTAGCTCCGGTTGCAGCTAGGTGCATGGGCGTCGCACCGGTGGGGGATGTGGGGGATGCAACACCCACACTTTTCTTATTGAGATCGTTCAACTGGCACCCTCACTTTTCCAGCTGTTTTGCTCACCTCCACACCTGTCTGGTTTCTTTACGTCGCACTCACTCTGTTTGCCTCATCTCCTTCTTCACCTCCCGCTTCTGACAGCCGATGTCGGGTTTCCAGGAGAGCAGGAGAGGGAGGGACGGAAGAGCTCGACTGAATTCATGATTTTACATCTTGACATTAGCTGTACAATGTCTGAGTTTGATAAAGTGAAGAACAACCATTTGCAGAGGTTTATAACAGGCACGGCACCAGGTTTTCATTTTTGGGTGAGCCACGGTAATTCTGGACGGACCTTAATAAGCAGTGACTTAGTGAAGCAGGCAGGTCGCGCTAGAAAATTTAGTTTAAAAAGACGTCATAAATGTTTTCCCCGTCATTTTAATTTCTAAAATATGAAGTAAAAACTCCCAGTTTAATTTTAATTCATTTGTCATTAATATGTAGTCTACACCCGTGTGTTAAGTGGGCCATCTTCCAGTAAAAGCAAAGCATCCAGTCCACCTCTCCAAATGCGTAAAATGTGCATCAGCCGCTAGTTAGGCGCGCCGCGCGCACCGTCAGCTACGTCAGCCCAGGCAAGAGCAGAGCAACTAGAGACAGAATAGAGGATAATTGTGTCTGGATGTGGATGGAGATTACATTTTACAGCAGCCTGATCATCATTTAAATACGTAACCCATCACCTGTCTTCTAGTCCACGCTATCAGCATTATTTTAATTGGTGTGTGTGTGTGTGTGTGTGTGTGTGTGTGTGTGTGTGTGTGTGTGTGTGTGTGTGTGTGTGTGTGTGTGTGTGTGTGTGTGTATGTGTGTGTGTGTGTGTGTGTGTGTGTGTGTGTGTGTGTGTGTGTGTGTGTGTGTGTGTGTGTGTGTGTGTGTGTGTATGTGTGTGTGTGTGCGTGTGTGTGCGTGTGTGTGTGTGTATGTGTGTGTGTGTGTGTATGTGTGTGTGTGTGTGTGTGTGTGTGTGTGTGTGTGTGTGTGTGTGTGTGTGTGTGTGTGTGTGTGTGTGTGTGTGTGTGTGTGTGTGTCCAGTAACATATTAATGTTACAGTTAAACAGTTTCACTTCATGTAGGCTAGGAACATTTCACCTGCCGTGGCCCGACCGCTTCTGCTCCACATAAACTTTGTGCGTGATCAAATGTCTCTACATGTGCTTTCTGAGCTGAAGAGGCTGTTCTGCCTCAGACTGGATGCGTCATGCGTCTCCATATTAGAGACGGGAACGAGCGCTGTTCAGTCAAAGTTTCATAATCAGCGAACATTTTTCCAAGTGACACATCCCTCAGAGAGACCGGCTTTCTTGTTCTTTCAAAACAACCAACATCCTTGAGTTTATCCGTCAAAATAAACAGTCAAACGGAAATATCTGTAAGCTGCCATTTAACTGTTTTGCCTTCTTGTGAAGATTGTTGCAAAGAGAAACAATTAAACTTGATTAACCCCAGAGCCACGCACACTACGCTGTACTCCTGACTGTAAATGAGGGGAAACAATTTAATCGGATCCTTTTCTCTTCAACATGGTTTAATGTAAAGTTTCATTCAGTACAAACTTTAGTTACACCAATCTAACGAGACAGAGCCTGGATTTGTATTCTGAACAGTTTAAACATGTTTAAAACGGAGACGTGCGTGACGCGTCTACAATTCGCACCTGCTCCGCTATTATGGAAATTAAACTAACAAGATGAATAACATGAAATTATTTTAGGCACAGACAACATCCCCCACACTTTTGAAAAGCTTGCAACGCGCCTGGCTAGGTGGCTACATCCGTTAGCTTGGCTCCCACCTCCGCGTTAGCCAGGGTTAGCTTCAGGTTAGCTTGTAGCTAGTTAGACCGGGTGTCGTCAGTTGATCCTTACAGCCCCACCCTCAGCTCCACCTCTCTTCCCTTTTTTGGAATTGTCTGGGCTTGACAGAACACGGTCAAAATGGCGGTGGTGGCCACCTCCCATTTTAGCACAAAAACTTATTCTTGGAGTCTATGGAAACCCATTGTCCAATATTTGTATGTCGATGAGCCCCATAGACACCATGTTTCCTTCTATGGGAGCCCGTGAGGACAAAAAGCCTTTACTGATTTGTAACAAACGGTTACAAATCTTTCGCCGTTCAAAAAATGTTGTTTTACACATTTACTTCTTCACTTGTTGCCAGTGATAAAAGGGAATCTGATGTTCTTGTTATTAAAATAAAAGTCATTTCTGGGGCAGAGAGACTTCCTGTGTTTCTGGGGCTGCTATGCAGCTAAGGTTGTAGTCAGCTTAGAGAGGTGGAGGTTCAACAGGGAGAGTCACTTCCGCATCATGGGTCCCCCGAAGAACGAAAAAAGGGTTGGTCAATGGGGCTAAAAACTCTATTTTCTAACCCGCTTGTTTTGTGCCATGGATTTCACATACAATGTCCGTGAATTTTAAAGACACATTTTCATACCAAGAACACACTTATTTTTTAATGGGGGGAATTTTAGGTTTTGTGTGAAAATAAGTCCAGGACTACAAATGCGCTTCACGAAAGTGACGTCATCGACCCAGACACGGCGAAAACTGAGGGAAAATGGCTGTAGGTTCAGCAAACTTCCCACAGGAGGAAAGAAGCAGCAGCTACTTTAGGGGAGAGGAGATTATGTGGTGACGCCACATATGCGATGTGCTGATTTCTGGTCTGTAGTCATGCTAATTACAAACTTTTACAAGCTAATAAATCTCAAAGTTTGTTACTGGCATGGTTGAAACACCCATCATTACTTTTCATTTAAACTGCAGCCCACATATGTGTGATCCAGGGCGTAAGGCAAAGCGGGTTAGAAAATAGCGTTTTTAGCCCCGTTGACTTGCATTCATTATTTTGTTCTGCCGGGGACCCATGATGCGGAAGTGACTTAGGCTCACTATATGTGTTGCCACTCGACAGTCTTAGCCAATAAAATGACACTTTAAATAAAAAAAATGTTCTTGTTATTTTGCTGGAGGTTGCGCTCCCAGGACTTTTTAATCATGTCCATCCATTGATACGGTCTTACCCAAACACAAAAAATATCACTTGCTTTCAATGTTTTATGTACTGCCCCTATCGCCAGGGAGAATACACACTGTCACTTTGAAGGGAAGGGATTGACTTTAAAGACACTTAATAGGTAACAAAGGTGACATTAATAAAAGGATCCTTTGTTTATTAAACCTGAGAAATATTATCTCTCACCACTCTTATGGACTCACACTCATATAAACACACTCCTGATTCCCAGTCGTGACTTCTGCTGTTTCTTCATGAACACGGTTAGTTTAATGCCCTCTAGTGGCACGAAAAAGTACTGCATCCAAGTCCAACTTTCAGAAAACTGGGGGAGCAGTTTTCTGTGGGGGCCTAAAGCCATGAACGAACCACAAACCCACGGAATAAACACACGCAGACCCGTGATTTATCTTCAACTGGATAAAATGAGCCGAGCATCCTCTGAGTCTCTCCCATCGACATAAATACGGTCTCTCCTGGGGATGTTCCCTTTAAATGCATTGTTTCTCCAGAGGTCAAACGGGTGAACTTCATCACTCTAATTACTGTACAGGACTGACTCACGGTTGGACATGAAGGTAGGAGGGGCAGCTGGGCTGCTGTTTGTTTTTATCTATGAACGCTTTAAACCCTCTCTTTCTGGTTTAAACACGCGTAGTCACTTAAACGGCAGTACCGAGGGGACCTGAACGCATCACGGGGTTACCTGATCCGGTGTGTTCCTCCTCTTTCACACACCACGCCCACTGGCACACACCCGGTGTGTTCCAGGAAGCGAGCCCGGTAGAAAAGCGTTGAGAGCGGTGAATGAATGCTTCTCGCTCCCGCAGGCTCTCTACCGTCTGGACGGAGGCACCATGCAGATCAAAGAGTAGTGAGTTGTGTTTTATTGTCCTCACAAGCGTCGCAGAGACCACCGTCACGTGTTAAAGTGTTCTAGTTGCGTTTAAACCGCGGGAACGTGTTATTTCTGCGGGGTTTAACTTCCACACGCGCTTCCCGGGATAGTTCCGCCTCCCAGCTCGACTCATTTGCCGCGTTTAGTTGACATTTTGGCCTTTTTAACGATTTATTCGTGCTTAACAAAAAAAAAAAGTCAACAAATCCAACTAATGTGGGCGGTTTAGAGCTACTGGGGTTGTGATGATAATGTGTGATGGATAATGGCTGCTGGGGGACCCGGTCGGTTACCGTCCAGGTGTCTCCAGGGCAGACATGAAGAAGATGTTCATTTAAAGCAGTTGAATCCTGAGCTTACGTGGGTTTATTCAGCGGGGTTTGTGGTTTAATCACGACTGTCACGTGCTCTCTGTGCTGGCTGTCATCTGACGATCACAGAGCAAAGTACACTCCCAGTTCAGATGTGCCTTTGAGCCAGGCATTAAGATGTGGAGTGTTGGTGGCAGCCACACACCTGATCTTAGGCTCCTCCTCCACTCAGACCTGATCTTATGAAATATTCAAGCTCTGCTGGGCCGTTGGTGATTAGCCTGTTGTTTGGTGGGAACACACACACACACACACACACACACACACACACACACGCACGCACACACACACACACACACACAGTCTTGAATGCAGCTTTATAATTTCCTCTCTGTTGGCCCGTAGTTCCTGCGACGGTAGGAACTGAAGCAGGATTTATGGGTGTACACAGCCTCTGCTGCATCAGAGTCACAACACTGTGTTGTGATTGTCCAGAGTGTAACCACGTTTTGTTCTCCTAAATATCTCCAGAGTTGCCTCTCTTTATGCAGAGGCCGTTTAATTCGTCTGGATAGCAGAATTCAGGGATCAAAGTTCTCGTGTGTAAATTCAGATCGATCAGGAAACCGAGAGCTTCGCCTCCTGACTCAGCTCTCTGTTCACCACGACAAACCGGTACAACGCCCGCATCGCTGCAGACGCAGCACCAGTCCGTCTATCGATCTCACGCTCCAGCTTTCCCTCACTCGTGAACTAGAAGAACTCCTCCACTTGGGGCAGGACCTCATCCCTGACCTGGAGAAAGCACCCTTTTCCATTCCAAGTCTTGGAGTTGGAGGAGCTGATTCTCATCCCGGCTGCTTCACACTCAGCGAGAGCCGGAGATCACGCTCGAATGAAGACATCAGGACCACATCATCTGCAGAAAGCAGAGACCCGATCCTCAGGCTACCAAAACAGATACCCTCAGCACCTTGGCTGCACCTAGAAATCCTGTCCATAAAATTATGCACAGAATCGGTGACAAAGGGCAGCCTTGGCGGAGTCCAACTCTCACTGGAAATGAGCTCGACTTACTGCCGGCAATGCGGACCGAGCTCTGACACCGGTCCTACAGGGATGCTCCCGGAGCACCCCCGAGGGGCGCGGTCGAACACCTTCTCCAGATCCACTAAACACATGTAGATTGGTTGGGCGAACCCAAGCATTTGGGCGCAATCTTATTTGTGATTTCTGAGCTTTTATGAATTAGTGTGGGCTGACGTTGGAGCTGAAGGTCAGCCCGTTAACGTGCCGCCGTCTAAAGGGTCAGCAGGTCAGCAGTAGTGAGTCTGTTGTGCTTTTCTCCACTTTATTGCTTCCATGGATTTTATTAACTTCGTCTCATTCTCTCACAGCCGGGTCGTCCTGCCCATCTCCGTGGAGGAAGTAAGTACTCATTATTTACCTTTTTTATCAGTGATTCTCATAATTACTGCTGAGCATGCTGCAGGTTTTATCTCCACTGCTTGCTTTTGCCACCGTCTGATTCAGCAGACGGTTACAGCCCATAATATCTAACCCTTTTCCTTTTTAGACACTGTTGCACCACAGTCAGCCGTACATCAGAGCTATTACACTGTTAAATCCCGTGAGGTTCTTGGCATTCCTGATCACGTTGCTCCCCGTGTTGTGGTTGGTGCCGGCTCGCATCAGTCATTAAAGACTTGTCCTGCAGAGATTCTGTTTTTCAGCATTGGAGTCATTTTCATTCTGGAGCTGTCGGTGACTCATTGCTCTCTAGTTTTCATTACTGGTGCGGAAACTTCCAAGCCGCCCATCTGCATACTCCAGTCGTTCCTTTGAGGCGGATCGGGATGCTGTGTGAAGTATTTTAAAGGTGCAGCTGAGTGTGAGCTGGTGTGCTATGCAGCTCCCATATCGGGTCCAGAACTACAGCAGCCCGGACGTCTAGACCAGTCGTAGCAGGTTTTAGTCTGCAGGTCGGTCTAGCCATGCTCCATTGTAGCCTCAGCAGGTCCATCATTGGGCCGAGTGGTTTTGTGTCTGGCCAATCACAGCACTCTGTTTGTAGCGAGACATTAGATGAGCTTAGCACCAGAGCTGGGATGGCGAAAAACTTCAAAGATGGCGTCGGCTCAGGACTGGTGCTTGTGTGAAACAACCTTGGATAATTTAGACTTGGGCTCTTCTCTGAGACACGAGCAGACAGAGGTCCTTAAGTCTTTTATTTAGAGAAGGGGTGTATTTGTTTTTTCTTCTTCTTTGGTGTGCGTTGCAGACTGCACCATTGACTGATTACCGTAGCGATGGCTAAGTGACATTGTTCGGTGTCTGATTGGTTCTAGCACAGTCCAGTAGCATGCAGAGACAGTTTGACAGACGACTGTAGACTCTGCCCCACAGCTGAGATCTGTCTATGGGTCGTGGCCATCTTCTAAATCCCATCATGGGTTCTGCCTCAACAACGGATCCTTCCAGAAAACAACAAGCAGCTTCTGCTGCTTCACCTCTCTGGTTTTTTCCAGCAGACGTGCAGACAGTCTTCTCCTTTTGTGTTCCTGCTGTTGCATACAACAGTGAGTCTTTGTGTTTCATTACCCAAAGCTGAACAAAACCAGTATTTCAGTACAGCGCATAGTCACAGTTTCCCATGCAGCTTTTCTTCTGATCCCTCTCAGAGTCAGAGGTTGGATGTTTAATTGAGCAACAGTGATCCGGCTTTTACAACGAGCTGGATCCGGCGTGAACGACTCGCAGTGGGACTTGGGCATTATTTGGTATTTGGGTTACAGATTGTTAAATTACATCGTTTTCCTCACAAGTGACTGTCCTTCTGTAACACATGGTTACTGTCCCCTCGTGTGCTGTATTTTGTAGATGTATGCTACATTTCTGTTAATAAAAGTGGAGATAAACTATTATTTCTATCACCGTCACTTGTTTCAAATTGTAAAACCTGAGAAAGCCTTTTCACTTGTTTTAGAAATACTACTGGTCACTCTGAGTTTCACGGGCAGGCTAACGGTGAAAATAATCTTGTCCCCTTGTTTCCTGCATTAGCGTCGGTGGAAATGCTCTGATTATAAAGCTAGTGACATTAGCACATCATAATGCCAAATTTACAGCCATGGACTCACCCATCTTGGCGTGCGACGGGGAGGCTGTTGTTGGTTTAGCGTCCAGGAAACGGTAGAGAACGTCTCGGCTAGTAGAAGCTAACTGTTAGCATTAGCAACAACACAACATGGCAGAGGTCCTTCAGGTTTGTGGTATTTGTTGAGATGAAACATCAACGCTGCAGAGCAAACTGAGCCAGTGGTAGAGTCACATTGCTGTTAGCCAATCAGAGGACAGATGTTCTTCTAGCAGGAAGTAAGACTCCAAATCCTGTTGTCTTGTGCTCCCAGCTCCTCTGTTTCAAGGTCCTGAAACAGGTGCGCCAGATCCCCCCCCCCCCCCCCCCCCAGCACTTTGTGTTGAAAAAAACAAGTGAACTTGGTCTTTAATAAGCCCCTCCTCGCCGTTCTGGACAACATGTATCCAGTCCGAACTGGATCGGTTCCTGCAGTGGACCCGGCTCCTGGATGGGGCCTGAAGCATCAGTGCAGAGCAACTGAGCGCTTGTGTAAGAAAAGCCGTCTCCACGTCCATCTGCTGCATCTAAAGGATCTTCTGACCTCTGCAGTCGGAGATGCCAGGGCTGCATATTTCTCCAACCTGGTGTCCCAGAGCAGAGGTTTTGTTTAGCACCATCAGCAGCATGGTCTCTCCTGCTTCACCCACAGCTCCATTCACTCTGATGGAGACTGTGAAAGGTTCCCGTCTTTCTTTGTGGAACGTCATGAAGGTTAGATCTTGCGTGTCTGCTTCATTTATCAGAGTTTTGCTCCAGTTTCTTTTTCCTGAGCTAACCAAACTAGTTAACTGTGAAAACCTCTGCATGCCCCCTCGACACTCAAATTCAAAAATACTTTATTAATCCCAGAGGGAAATTGATTATTAATCCTAGAGGGAAATTGATTATTAATCCCAGAGGGAAATTGATTATTAATCCTAGAGTGAAATTGATTATTAATCCCAGAGGGAAATTGATTATTAATCCCAGAGGGAAATTGATTATTAATCCTAGAGTGAAATTGATTATTAATCCCAGAGGGAAATTGATTATTAATCCCAGAGGGAAATTGATTATTAATCCCAGAGGGAAATTGATTATTAATCCTAGAGGGAAATTGATTATTAATCCCAGAGGGAAATTGATTATTAATCCTAGAGGGAAATTGATTATTAATCCCAGAGGGAAATTGATTATTAATCCTAGAGGGAAATTGATTATTAATCCCAGAGGGAAATTGATTATTAATCCCAGAGGGAAATTGATTATTAATCCTAGAGGGAAATTGATTATTAATCCTAGAGGGAAATTGATTATTAATCCCAGAGGGAAATTGATTATTAATCCTAGAGGGAAATTGATTATTAATCCCAGTGGGAAATTGATTATTAATCCCAGAGGGAAATTGATTATTAATCCCAGAGGGAAATTGATTGACATGGAAGTATTTAGACTGTTTTTACTGTACAAGTCACATGCACACACTGTCTCTCTCACACGCATGTACAGTCACACAGAAACACATACATCTGGCATGTGGTGGGGAGGTTGGGATCAAACCGCTGAACTTTAACTCCCCTTTCCACTGAGCTCCAGTGGCCCATAAGGTGTGTGGCGTTCTTTTACCAAGTCATTTTGACGGTTATTTGGGTCTGACCTCAGAGCAGGTTTTAATCTGGTGACCATTGTTCTTATAATCAAATAAAACAGTCATCCAGGGTGCACACCTCCTTTTTGACAGTGATATGATGCACCACCTTGACTTGTTTCTGACAAACCTGACGGGCTGAGAGCAGGCCTGAACCTGCTGCTTCTGCTGCTGGATGTTGTGCTGTTGTCTGGAAACTGCCAGGTGTGTGGTGTTAGACAGCAGCGACAGGATGGGCTGGTTCCACATGGCCAGTCACATTCCTGAGCTGTTACTCCCAGAGGTGTGTGTGTGTGTGTGTGTGTGACAAATGAAAGATGAATATAAATTAGAGTTAAAAGAAAAGTAAATATTTGGTAAACTAACTAAACTTTATTTATACAGCACCTTCACACAGCCCAAGGACCAAACACAGCGCTGCACAACAGAAATGAACATAAAGAAATAAAAACACTTAAAACCGTTTAAAAACCAACAGAAACATGTATAAAATCGAGGTGGGGAGCAAAAAGTGCAAAGCCGCCCATTAACGAGACTCCAGTTGAGTAAAAGCCAAAGAATAAAAGTGTGTTTTCAGACGGTAAAAGCAGCTTTAAATAAAAGGGTCTTTAGCTGTTTTTTAAAGTGTCCAGACCGTCAACGCTGCGTAAGGATAAAGGAAGATCGTTCCAGAGTGGAAGGAGCGACCACCTCGACTTTTATATCTGGTCTTTGGAACTTCTAGAAGGTTCTGGTGTGTGGACCTGAGGGCTCGGGTTGGAGCATAAGGCTTTAACAGTTCAGTAATGTAGGGAGGAGCTCGACCATGTAGATCCCTGAAAGTTCTAGTCAGAACTCTAAATGAACTCTAAAGTTAACGGGTAACCAGTGCAGAGAAGTCAGAATAGGAGTGATGTGAGCTCTTCTGTTTGCTCCAGTTAGGAGCCTCGCTGTGCGCGGGCACATGGGTCTAACGACAAGAGGCTGTTCTAAATATTTTAATGATTTTTAAAAAGTCTACTCCTTCGTGGACCAGATGTCTCAGTGTTGCATAAAACAGTGAAACGTGTCTGGACTGAAGGTTTTGTGTGTTTAAGGGTGAGCGCGTTGGACTGACCAGACTGGCAGCGCCCAATTTGTGAGTCAGTTTTTCCAACATTGCAACACTTTTCCTGACTCAGAACCTCAGAAGGCTCACGGAGGAAGCGGAAGGGGAAGAGGAGGAAGACAAAGTCAAAAAAGGCTCACTCGGCTGGTTTTTCACTGCTAAGTCTAAGTCTGGGAAAACTGGGAGAATGTGTCCCTCGGAGGCTTTAGTTCCCTTAACTGGGAACCTTTCAGCTGGACTCTTTAGCTGAGGTTTTATACCCCAGAGGAAGCGTGCAAAACAAATCACTCTCTTGTGTCTTTTTGCAAACAGTCCAGTCACCGGCTTGAGCTACTTGTGACGGTAAATGAGTATTAGATGTGAGGAATGACTTTCACTGCTGCATGGCATGAACCCGATAGGGTTGTTTTCTGTTGTTTCTCTACAGGTGTGCCAGCTCCTGTCCATTCAAACATCCTCCTCTGTGTCGGGGGATTCCTCACAATCACAACCGTTTCTTACTCCTTAGCTGAGCCAGGAGAACCAGAGAATGGGTTTAGTAACGTGTTCTGGATCTGGGGCTGAGACGTTCACTAAAATAACAACTAGATAAAAGGTTGGAGCTGTGAACAGGCTACATGGGTTTTATTTTGTCCTCTCAGTACCAGGTGGGCCAGCTGTACGCTGTAGCAGAAGCCAGCAAGAGTGAGACCGGAGGAGGCGACGGCGTGGAGGTGCTTGTGAATGAACCGTATGAGGAGAATGGAGAGAAGGGACAATACACCCACAAGGTCTACCATCTGCAAAGGTAGTCACTCCCAGGTTCACCTCCGGGCGTTTACACCACTATCTTCTAAATACTGCAGCTAAACAAGTAACTATAAGGCCCAAAGAGCTCCGTTTTATTCCGTTTCTAGTTTTTCCCAATTCCTTTCTGAAGGCTAAACACATTTCTCACATGTGGTTGGAATAATGACTCGACAGTTCAACAGAATTGGGTCAAATCTGAATGAAAATGGAGCAGAGGTTCTCCTAAATAGAACATTTCCTGTTTCTATCACGACCATCTGCACACACCATTGTGAGGAGTGTGTTGCTGCAGTGCACCTCTAACCCTCAGTCCCACAGCCACGCCTCACCCAATGCCAGCATTTTAAACTACCGCCGTGCAATAACTGCTACATTTGCTAAATAGCTTGTCAGCAACTCTCTCCAACATGTAAGGAATTAATTCACCATCTTGAAAATCCCCACTTGTGTGTGTGTGTGTGTGCAGCAAAGTGCCGCAGTTCATCCGAATGATCGCTCCGAAGGGTGCTCTGGAGGTGCACGAGAAAGCCTGGAACGCATATCCTTACTGTCGAACAAGTGAGTCCTACTTCAGGCGAGCACCTGAACCACACATCTGCTCGATGTAGAAGGGGCGGATTATATCACTTCTCATATTTTATCCATCTCTTCCCAATCACCATCTTCTCGTCGGGGCTGACCCGTTCGTCTGATGCAGTCCTCACCGTAAGTATCGTGAAACTTAAAGCTGTGAGGTCTGTTGGGTTCTAGAGCTGGGTGGGTAGCAACCTAGATGCTGCCAGTGGAGGCATCGAGTTTCTAGAATAACACGGCTCACTTCCAGGCATCTCTCCCGTCATTACAGAACACCTACATGAAAGAGAAGTTCATGATTAAGATCGAGACCTGGCACAAGCCTGACCTGGGGGATCAGGAGAATGTAAGTCATGATTTCTGCCTACAGAACCAGAATCGGTGTCCGCCAGTGAGCCGTTCAATAACGGAGTAATTATGCGCTACACCAGCGTTCGCTAACGTGCTTTGACGTGTGTGTGCACAAATGTAGCTCACTACAAAAAGTCACTTCAGTTGTTGTTTTGATGAGAGAGCAAAGCGTGGCCCAGGTCGTGTGTAAGGTGGAGAGGAAGTGGTCTGTCGCTGTCTCCATGGTTTCATAAAGCCTCTAACAAACACTGATAACAAAACCTGAACCGCATTTCTGGCGTGACTGCAACAGTTCAAACACTTTTTCTCTGAATCCGCCTGAACGCAGCCTAGAGGCTTCCCTTTGCAGGAGTGTGTTCGCTTTGGTGACACGGGACTTCATTTCCTCCTGCGGTGCAGTAATTTTATCAGCGACGTCCTAGATGCTGTTTGGTAGTTTTCACCTGATTATGTCAGGATTCAGACAGGTCTGTGTTAAAAACCTGTATGTGGGAACCGTCGTTTAATCACAAACAGAATCCGTTTACTGACTTTAGCTTGTTATCGATGAGCCTTAGTGGAGGGTTCGTGTGTTCTGCTTCTGTTTGAGAAGGTCTCGGATCAGATCAAGACCAAGGCCAGATTCATACGAGTTTACCTGTCGTTACCTGTCAACCTGTGTCAGTGTACCAAGAATGAGACGACAACCGGTTGATGCTTGTTCTCTTCTCTGCAGGTACACGGACTAGACAAGAGCAAATGGGAAACCGTTGACGTTGTTAATATCGACATTGCAGATAAAAGCTGCATTAATGCAAAGGTAGGAGAAGATCCTTAGAAGAGTCAGACCAACCATCTGTGTTTGATTGGATTGGTCTGAGTCTGATCATCAGTCTGATGATCTGGGCTTTGATGAGCCCAGCTTTGATCTAGATTAACATTTACATGCTGTGTTTGTTCTTCAGGACTACAAGGCAGATGAAGATCCTGCCATCTTTAAGTCACAGAAGACCGGAAGAGGGCCTCTGGGACCAGACTGGAGGGTGCGCTTGTTGTTGCTCTCTACTTCAGCTCGTTTTAGTGGAGAAAATTTTAACCTGTGTTATGTCTGTTTGCAGAAAGAACTAGCTAACAACTCCAACTGCCCTCACATGTGTGCCTATAAACTAGTCACGGTTGAGTTTAAGTGGCTGGGACTTCAGAACAGGATGGAAACGCTCATTCATAAGGTGGACAACGAATGTTTTTGTTGGTTTTTCTGTCAAAGAAGGAATTAGATCCAGCTGCAGTGCAGGAACCCCCATGGCTTCCTCACACTGGTGTGTGTGTGTGTGTGTGTGTGTGTGTCCAGGTGGAAAGGCGCTTGTTTACCCAGTTCCACAGACAGCTGTTCTGTTGGATTGACAAATGGATCGACCTGTCGCTGGATGACATTCGGCGTATGGAAGAGGAGACCAAGCAGCAGCTGGATGAGGTGAATCCAGACAGATGAGATTGGGGTACTGCTGCGGGACAAGGCAGGGATGATCTTAGTTAAAGACCAAGTTCACTAAGAAAGTCATTTATTTTTTGCCCCTTATGAAACGTGATTGCATTAGCCACTGGTAGAAAATAGACAGGGACACACTCGGTACAGCAACTGCACCACACAGCAGAACTCCTCCAGGCTTGTGTTATTTATGGAGATAAAACACCAACGTTGCAGAGCAGAGTCGGTGATAGTCACATCCATCCATCCATTCTCTTCTGCTCATCCGGAGTCAGATCCGGGCAGCAGCCTAAGCCGAGAGGCCCAGACTTCCCTCTCCACAGCCACTTGCACCAGATCCTCCAGGGGTTTGCTAAGGTGTTTCCTGGCCAGCCGAGAGACCCTCCAACGTGTCCTGGGTCTTCCTTTAGGTCTCCTCCTGGATGGACGTGCTCGGAAAACCTCGCCAAGAAGGCTTCCAGGAGGCATCCTAATCAGATGCCCGAGCCACCTCAACGGACTTCTCTCGATGTGAAGGAGCAGCGGGTCTACTCCGAGCCCCTCCCGGATGACCGAGCTTCTCACCCTATCTCTAAGGGAGAGCCCAGCCACCCTGCGGAGAAAACTCATTTAGGCCGCTTGTATCTGCGATCTCGTTCTTTCGGTCACTACCCAAAGCTCATGACCATAGGTGAGGGTAGGAACGTAGATCGACCGGTAAATCGATAGCGTCACCTTCCAATTCAGCTCTCTCTTCACCACGACAGACCGGTACAACGCCGGCATCTCCGCAGATGCAGCACCAATCCACTTTTTGATCTCCCACTCCATCTTCCCCTCCCTCGTGTACAGAACTCCTCCACATTCTGCTGTGGTCCAATGAACCCCAGGTGTTTGTTGTTTTTGAGGAGTGAGCACCACCTCACCCATGCCACGTGGACCACAAGGGGTAAACCATCAACCCTGCTCAACCATACCATCTGTGCAGACTGGCTTTGGTGGCCTTCTGGTCATTCTTCCTCACCACCTTCTCCATGCTGCTGTTTCTACCAAATCTGCCTGTCTTTGGTTCCCATGATTACCTTTTTTATTCATTTTTATCGTCTTTCACATTTTTTATCTAAAAATTTCCATTTCCCCATTTCTTATTACAAGATATTTAATAAGTAGATAGTTTATATGATTAACATCTTCCCTGTCCTGGAGGGATCACTCTACGGGGGATAGATTCATCGTGGAACAAGTTCTGACATCTTCTGGTAGAAATGGAAAATTACAACCATGAAGGTTTCAGTTGTAAGCCAGGGCCTCCCAACCCCAACACCTACCGACATGCACACAATTAAAAGTGAATAATTACAATTTTTATACAGACATTCAGGGTTGTGGCTCTTTGATTTTACCATTTGGTGTGTTATTGGGATTTTATAAATATAATCCTGTAGAGACCCACTGCTTTCTTGTGTGGACCCCCTTGGGGGTCGCAGACCCCAGGTTGGGAATCACTGTTGTAGGAGGTAAGCCACAGTAACACGATGGAGTTCCCAGTGACAGGGTTAACGCAGGAAACGAGGATGCTTCTGTATTTGTCATCACTCATCTTGGATATCAGAACTGACCGTGTGTGTGTGTGTGTGTGTGTGTGTGTTGTTTCCATGTCTTCTCACTGACGCGTTTGTTTATAGATGAGGAAAACTGATGAAGTTAAAGGCATGTCTGCTGATGAGTGAGAAGAAGTGATGTGGTGAGTGATCATTTATTCTTTACTTGCTTGAACAGAAACATTCGTAGTTAATCTATCGTCTTGTTTTCCTCGTTAGACCAGCCGGATGGGGGACGTGACTTCATCTGAGCTCGGCCTCCCCTCCTCGGACCAACTGGACCTGCAGCACTCTCCGAGGCATAATCAAGGATACCCTCTACATCTTAATAAAGATTTGCTCTTAATAAGAGCTTATTTCTGGAAAGCAACTGTGCATATTCATGTGCATTAAAATACAACCACAGCTGATTTTACTGTTTTTGTTTTTTAGGAATCTATTAGAAAGGTCTTCTTTTAAGATGAAATATTCTTGTTTATGCCTGCTCGTCTCCAAGCTGAAGGGGTTCTCTCTGAAGGATCATTTACGATTACTTTAGTTCCTTTTTAAAGGCACTTATCTGTTTTACTTTTATTCTTCTTGGTTTGTTTTCAGTCACTGTTCACTAACCAAAAAGGAAGGAATTACTTTTAACATATCTGTATACAATGGCAAAACTTGCATCTTTACAAAGTAAAAATAACCTTCAGTGTTTCATTTTTAACATTTTCAGTCTTACTGCAGTTATTCCTGTTCTGCCAGACGTAATATCATCCAGTGAAAATGTGTTCGATTTCCTCAAGACATGATGCCACATGCGTGTATTTCCGAAAGGTTATCCAGGTACGATGACCCACCTTTAGTCAGGAACTGGTTTAGACTTTATTTTTTAATGATTACATTCCTGTAGCTTATTTTTTTGGTAGAGGTTTTGAGTGTTTCAGGTTACTGTTATTTTAATTTGATTTTTCTGATGAGAAATGTCAGTAAAAAGATGCTGATGGCTGTTGGTATGTGTGTGGAATGTAGTCATCCACATATTAATGTGAGTGCACATTAAAGGAAAAGTATTTGGTCTTTTCTTGCATTTTTCCTGTCTTTTAATTTCCTGTGCTTTTTTTTAGACCTTGCTGCTAGAACAATCCTGACCCCTACAGTAGTTCAAAAGATCCGCCTTTCAAAATAAAGCCCGCATGTTAATTGAATTTATACGCTTTTTTTCTTACGTTTGCGCCACTGACATTCATTTGTGACAATCTTGTAAAAAAAAAAACTACCTACTCAACGTCTGAGCACGTTTTTCTTGATGCAATGTATCTAAATTACGTCTAGCAAATAACGCTGATACCATTTTTTCTGTTGTGTGTTTATGGTCCACTGCTTTTAGCATAGATTATAGTTTTTTACGTTTCCATATACATTTTTTATGGTTTCATATACATATTTTTACGGTTTCATATACATTTTTTACGGTTTCATATACATTTTTACGGTTTCATATACATTTTTTACGGTTTCATATAAATTTTTACGGTTTCATATACATTTTTTACGGTTTCATATACATTTTTTACGGTTTTATATAAATTTTTTACGGTTTCAACTACATTAACGTCTGAAATTTACGTCTGTGTATAAGCTTTTATTTTGAAAGCACAAAGATTGTCTTCCGGATCCGGGGCGGGAACAACGCAAGCTACTGTACTCCTGTAGCTGCGGCTGCAGTGCTACTGTACGTCTGCTTAAGTGAATAAAACTACTAAAGAAGTCCTACTAAAGCTCGCCAGGTAGTGTGTGATGAAGCTCCTCGCTAATGTTTAGCCTTTGTGGGTTTTTGGAGTTTAAAACAAGGAGAAGTTTGGTTTGGTTTGCTGCGCAATGCGCCGACTAGCACTGAGTCACCAGAGCTACGAGAATAGCAACTGGTAGTGGTTTAAGTATCTAGTTTACCGGAAACAGAGACTTACTGCGGGTAACTCGCCTATCGCATGTCTCTGTTTTGTAGCTGTTATCCCAGCAGGTGTGCAGGTGATGGGGAGAGTGAGGAGCAGTCAGACCCCCATCATCCGTCACAGCTGAGGATGGAGAAGGACCACAGCGAGAGGCAAGACTTCCGGTAGGATGCTCCCTCCGTGTCTAACAGGGAATGAAGTACTCGAACCTTTATTTTACTGTTTATGTGATTTAGGATCCAGGGATAGAACTACAGGTAGAAATAAGGGTTTATAAGACCGACCAGCTATCGCCCAATTTCTCATTAATGTTGATCTCAAAATAATTTGTAAAGCCCTGGCAAAAAGATTAGAGAAGGCAACCCCTTCATAATACACCCTGACCAAACTGGTTTCATCAAGGGTAGACAGTCATCCACTAACTCACGATTACGTAACCCTTTAGGCGCTATAGTTTTTTCAGTAAAATATGAAATTTTTATATCACTGTCTGTGAAGGTTCTCAGTCATCCAGGTCATTGTAGTCTAAAGCTTGGTTTATGCTTGATGCATTCACTTTCCGCTTGGTGATGCGGCTCGCGGATGGAACGCGCTTCACAACTCGCAGCGTTTATGGTTCGTGTGGCTCGTCTCTGCGGTGAGCCAATATTCTCCCAAACTGTAGGGGGCAGCATGGAGCTCTACGGCATGCATCCAACACTACACCATAGTAGAAGTAGAAATTACTGTTTACAACATGGCATTCCAGCATTTTTAACAGCGTCCTCGTCTTTTCCGACAGTGCGAGCTATTTCTCTCCAAGAATTATTAACAACATGTTGATCACGGTGATCTCTGAGAGCTGAAGCATACAAATGTCTGTATTTACCAACCTCTGACATACTAGTTCTTGCCGGTCCGCCATGTTTTTCCACGTCCGTCCGTCCGCGTGGTTAGAAATTTTCCGAGGTGCGCGTTGCGGAAATCTTGGGCCGTGCGGAGACGCGGTGGAGGGGCGTGGTTGTTAAAATGACGCAACTTTTCCACGCGGAGCCGTGCGGACCTCGCGGACGCGTCAAGCATAAACCAACCTTAAGGAGCTTTGAAAGAAAAGCGTCTGGACTTCTTTGAGTTGCTTGAAGACGTTTCACCTCTCATCCGAGAGGCTTCTTCAGTTCTAAGGTCAAATGGTGGAGAGTCCCAGATTTAATCCCAGTGGGAGTTTCCCCCCGAAGAGGGAACAAAAGACCCCCTGATGATCTTCTACATAAACACATGAGCCCAGGTGTGAGGGTGGGTGTGGGTCCTATTCAGCCAGAGTTTCAGGTGAGCTCATTGTGAAGCCTGGCCCCACCCTATCATGTGAATTCCTGAGGTCAGATGGCCCAGGATATGCGTGGGCGTTGAGGCATCTGGGAAGGGATCTCAAAACTGGATTATAGATGGCAGACAGTTGGTGTCGTAAACCACCGCCTCTGTTCAAAGATGGTTGCTCACAGTGGACATAAATGGCTTCCTTTACTCCTCTTTCAAACCATCTGTCCTCTCTGTCCAAAATGTGAACGTTGGCATCCTCGAAAGAGTGACCTTTGTCCTTTAGATGCAAATGAACTGCCGAGTCCTGTCCCGTGGAGGTGGCTCTTCTATGTTGTGCCATGCGCTTGTGAAGTGGCTGTTTGGTTTCTCCGATGTAGAGGTCTGGGCATTCCTCGCTGCACTGTACAGCATATGCCACATTGTTCAGTTTGTGTTTAGGAGTTTTGTCTTTCGGGTGAACCAGTTTCTGTCTGAGTGTGTTGCTGGGCCTGAAGTACACTGGTATGTTGTGTTTGGAGAAAACCCTCCTGAGTTTCTCTGACACACCGGCTACATAGGGGATGACAAGGTTGTTGCGTCTGTCTTTCTTATCCTCCCTCGCTGGTGTCTGGTCTTCTTTTCTGTGCATCTTTGCTGACTTTATAAACGCCCAATTAGGATAGCCACATGTTTTAAGTGATTCCTTTATATGTGTGTGTTCCTTCTTTTTCCCTTCCGGCTAGGGATGCACCGATGGATCGGCATTTGATCCCAATCGGCCGATAGCGCCCCTATCGGTTTTGAGTGGAGTTTTCAAAATAGATCAAAGCAGACCGATCAGGTAGGGTTGTCACGGTAACCGGTGTAGCGTTAAACCCCGGTAAAAAAAAAAAGTTGACAATAATAATAACCGTCTTGTTTTTAAAGAACTATATTATCTTGGTGGGATTACCATGGCTGCGGTGTAGGCGCGGTGACCCTTACCAGCCACCGTATCATCTGCTGAAGTTGCCGGTGGCACATGCGCACTTTGTTGTTTACAACCAAAACTTTCTTGAAGCTAAAGCTGAAATAATGGCCAAAGGAGGAGACGGCAGCGCTCAGGACATTTATTATCCCTCAAAGAAGACAAAGTGGGAAGTACGGGCATCTTTTAGATATTTGAAGAATGCTGAGGGACAGTTGATAGAAGACGGCTATCCTGTTTGCAGCACGTGCAGAAAAAGTGTCTGTGAAAGGCAGCAACGCTTCAAATCTCATGACACATCTGCGTGACCATCACCCACAACTCTACAGTCAACGCAAGGCAAGCTAACGTTAGCGTTTTAGCTAAAATGCGTGATCCGAGGATTTGGGTTGAGGGAGAATGCAACGAGTCGCTATATAAAGCAGCCGCAGCGCCGCTACCTGCATATAAACCGTGTCGCGGACACCGCCATGTTGAAATGACGCTATGCATTACGGGGCTCCCAGGGGCAGATAAGAGTTGGTCTCTCTCCGAGAATAATTATGAATTTAACAATGATTACTGCCTGATGACATTTCCCCACATCTGCAAAGCTCACTGGAAGGACACAAACCGAGGACAATATTCTCCTGATATAGGCTTTATTACTCAAGTAAGGGTAAAAAGTATCTGATTAGAAGGCTACTTGAGTACTGAGTATAATCTGGTCTAATATTTTTAAAATGATGACATCAAACAGACAAAAAATATAAAATTATGGGCAAATATTGGTATTTTAAAGACTAAAGGGGAAACATGTAAACAAATAAACAACATAATTACAAAATAACACATTTTAGGCAAAATTTAGACACAAACTGAGGACATATTTCCTGACATACAGGGTTTATTTACTTGTGGGAAAATGTAGCACGTTTAAAAAAATATACTGCGATAATACCGAAAACCGTGGTAATTTTGGTCACAATAACCGTGAGGTTACATTTTCACACCGTGACAACCCTAATACAGACCATTTTAGATTAGGTCACATTTCCTTTAGTCCCAGATTATGTAGTTTGTAGCACTCATTATAATGTTGTAGAACATTTCTGGCCAATCCACGTGATCGGTATCGGTATCGGTGATCGGTATCGGTGATCAGCATTCTTTGATATCGGTATCGGTAGCAAAACACCTGATCGGTGCATCCCTAGTTGTATGTGTATGTGTGAGCATGAGGGAGGGAGTGTGTGACTGTGCTTGTGTATGACTGTATGTCAGGTGGGGCCTTTGACTCCTCCCTTCTCTGGGACTTCTTTTGATGATATTGATTTTCGTCTCCCCTCCCCCGCCACACCTGGTGTGGAGTGTGGTGCCTTGGTCTGCCTGGGTTGTGGCTCCCGGGTCAGGGGGTTTAAGATCTTTAGCGTTTGCCTGATCAATCCCGGTGGCTGCCTGGTGGGATCTGGGTTCCTGGTGGTGGGGGTGGGGGTGGTGGTGGTGGTGGGGGGGGGGGGGGGGTAAAATAAAAAGAAATAAGGGTTTATAATGGGTTCTTGTTGAGACCAAGACAGAACCTCAGGTTGTTTGTTTATTGAGCCGTTTGTGAATTATTTGTCAGTTTCTCTTTAAAGGACACAAACCACAGCTGCGCTTCACAAACTGTATCTCATTTTTGTCAGGATCTACAACCCTAGTGAGGATAACACAGTTTAGGTAGTGGATGGATGGACAACACTATTTCTTCTCAGCAACTTGAGAACAGTGGACCAGTCCGTCTCCTTTGCTGTATTCATCAGTAACCGAGTCACCAGCTCAGCAGTTTTTCTTCTTTGGATCACCTGAACGCATCAGAAGCTTTAACTCATCTGTCTGAGCCAAAGTAGTAGCAGATCTGTGTGTATTTAGATTTAGTTTACATATACATGTATTTCTGAACAGTCACCTGTTTGTCTGATCGTAAAACACGCTTTACATCGTCCGCATTTGTCAGAGGTTAGGGTTAGGGTTAAAGGTCCCTTCCTGTAAGCTCCTGAACAACCTGATTATCTGCCTGTGGAGCTGAATGTGCTGCTGGACTGAACACAGTGCTGCGTTTACCAGACTGCTGCATTCTAGCTGGTGGATTATGTTGCTTAACGGTGCAGCTCTGAATGGGATTTGCCCTAGAAGAACAAAGTCTTGCTGTTCAGGCTGAAGAAAGAGCAGTTATGAGCTCAGCAGCTCACCCGGGACAGAGAGTCCTTTACGTTCACACGAGGAAGGTATTTTCTCAACTTTTAACCGGCCTATTGTTGAGATGTTTCACAAGCAGATTAGAAGCTATTTTAGTACACGAGTCCAAGTTTCCCAGTTGCTCTGAAACTCTGCCTCCCGAACCCCAGAGCCTGGACTCTCGTCTCCTCATTCAGCCAGCTGGTTCCACACGGGAAAGGATTACCGCGCCTCAGCTTCTTGTTTTATTTGCGATCTCTAGCGCATTCATAAACTAATGGTCTCTTCAGGGCTGTGGTATTCAAGCAGGCAGCTGAACCCAGTGGAGGTGACACCCTGAGCTGGTATGGATGATGCCAGGTGGCTGTTGGGTTCTGTTGGACGCGTCCGCAGCAACACCCTTTCATCCGATGCCACACAGTCAACAGGAAGTAAACTGGCTCTGTGCCATCAGCTCAGCCAGCTCATGACCTGTGTGGACGATCTGGACCCCAAAACTGAGCTGCATGAGAAAATGGTCAGGACCCTGGACAGCGCCTTCCTGGTCTGCTCGAGACGAGCCAACAAGCCAAAGAAGGACCGACTCAGGTGGAGGATGCTGCAGCTTCTCACTCGCCTTTCTGCTGAATCTAGAATCGGTCTCCTTCTGGACAGTGTCTGTGTCCAGACTGGTCCTATCACACTGTGATCAAACCTCGTAATTGCCTTCTGGAGCCTTCCAGTGGACGTGACTCTTTAGTCTGTTGTTCATTAGTCTAACGGATGTGGGTTTGAGTCTGAGCTGCATGTTACAGCGTTGTCGCCCAGGAGGGATTTTCTTATTGTTGTTTTTTCTGAAGTGGAAGAGGCTTTGGTTCCAAAGCTAACGCAGCAACAAATGTGCTGCACATGGGTTGTAACCATGTGACTATGGCTGTGTAATATACATATGTGCACATATCATGGACGTTTATTATCCTGTCGTATGAAACAGAACAACCCTGCTGCAGTAACTCTTGTAGGTGCTCTTAACCACCAGAGAAATGAGGTGTTTACCTGAAAGCAGGTGGCGGTCAGGAAGGAAGACCAGCAGTATCTAGCTGGTATATTTTCAGTTGATTCATCTGAGCTTTTCCAGCTTAACCCCCCCCCCCCTGTCTCACAGGCTTCACCTAGTGACGTGGAACGTGGCCACAGCTGATCCTCCAGAAGATGTGGCTGCTCTTCTTCACCTGAATTCACCCAAAAGAGCCGACCTCTACGTCATCGGGTACAGACGAGTTGTTTTTTATCTCCAGAAGTGTCTCCTGCATCAGCGACTGGCCTGACGGTCAGATGTGTGTTCAGTCTGCAGGAGGTCTACTCAGGACTGCTGAGGTTTGTGTCTGATATGATGTTCGATGACCCGTGGACTCACCGGTTGATGTCCACCTTAGCTCCGCTGAATTATGTAAAGGTACGGACACACACCATCTCACGATCAGTGTGTGTTTCTGTGTGTGTCGTCTCAGGTGTGCATCTGTGTTTCAGGTATCTTCTATCAGAATGCAGGGTTTGGTGCTGCTCTGCTTCTCTAAACTGGAGCATGTCCCCTTCATCAGAGACATCCAGACCACCTACACACGCACAGGCATCTTTGGCTACTGGGTGAGCAGAACACACACACGAGAGGGAGAGAGAGAGATCAACCTTCTTTCTACTCAAGGATTTTACCTTTCAAGGTCAACCTCAGGCGTCGTATTCGAGCAGATTGCCCTCTGTCATTATTTATTAAATTAAAACCAAACCAATTAGTAAAAGCTGGTCCCTCTGAAGATCCGCGGCTGCTGATCAGACGTGCGGATTATGAGTTCCTCCCTCAGGCACAGAAGCAGGAGGTGTTTTAATCAAAAGCTGTGTGTGAGTTGGTCTGTATGCTAACAGGACGTAGCTTAGCCTAAGAGCTGACGACAGCATTGCAGAGTGTGTCTCTTGTTTGGTTTTCAGGGTAACAAAGGTGGCGTGTCTATCCGCCTGTCCCTTTATGGTCACATGGTCTGCTTCCTCAACTGCCACCTGACGGCTCACATGAACTATGCCACAGAAAGAGTGGATGAGTTTGAGTACATCATGGACTCGCAGACCTTTGACTGTAAGAAGGCGTCGAGAATATCTGATCACAGGTGAGAGCACGCACAAGACTCAGACTGTTCTGTATGGATGTTGGAGTAAAAGCTGGAACGTCCGCCCGTTCTGGTCAGTCGTTTGGAATGCCGTAGCTGTCCTGCTGCTCGATCTGAAGGACTCTGACATTCCCTGGCCAGCTGAGAGGGAAGAGCTGGAAGACTTACCTAACTGGAATAATGAAGTGAACGCTGTTTAGTAGGTTTAATTGGGATGTTTTGCTTCCTAAAGCACCTTGAGCCCCATGAGATGTCTAAGCTGCAGCTGTTACACACCTGCTTAGACTCTATCAAAACCTGGATGGTGGGAGCTTTCTTCAGCTGAATGAAGATAAGACTGAGATCCTCATCTGTGCCCCAGACAAGCTGCTTCCCAAAGTCAGAGACTCTCTTGGTCAGCTTGCTTCCCACACCAAACCTTCTGTCAGGAATCTTGGCGTGACCTTTGACCCAGCTCTCACCCTGGATTCTCATGTCAGTTCTCTTGTTGGCTCTTCCTTCTTCCATCTCAGGAACGTTGCTAAGCTGAGTCCCATTCTGTCCCGCTCTGAACTTGAGACAGTTCTCCACACCTTCATCTCCTCACGCTTAGACTACTGTAACTCTCTTTTCACGTGTCTGAGCAGAACCTCCCTGAACCGTCTACAGGTGGTTCAGAACGCCTGTGCTCGGCTTCTGACCAAGTCCTCCAAACACACCCACATCACCCCGCTTCTCCTCCAGCTTCACTGGCTGCCAGTCAACTTCAGGGTTCATTTCAAGATCCTGGTTCTGGTCTACAGGGCCTTACATGGACAAGCACCATCTTACATTGGTGATCTTCTTAAGCCGGGCGGACACTGTGTGACTTTTTCACTTTTTTGAGCCGATTTTCCAGTCGTGCGAGAATCCACGACATCGGGGCGAGTTTAGCGCCGAGCGGTCGTGTAGTGTACAGGGGGTTACGAGAGGCGATTAACACCACGTGACCAGCTACCGATCAGCAATCGTGAGGTCGCACGGACTTCTGGCGTGTTTGATATTTCGCTCGTCCCTCATGAGGGTATCGCACTGTTGAAGCGGCACTGCGAGCAGCTGCGACCCAAAAAGTATCAGAACCGCTCACGGCGCATGCGCAATCCTGCATCAACGCCGCTCGCTATTTCCCTAATAACACACGCTGTTCGTTTTTATTTCTACACGTTTTTTTACTCACAAAGATAGTCAAGAAAGCGTGTTTGTCGTGTTCATGTCAAATTAAACTGATCACAAAACACAGATTCACTCTCTTTATTTCGTTTTCCTCATCCAACCCCCATAAATCCCTGTGTGTCCTCCTGCAGCACTCCCGAAGGACAACAGGCAAGACAAAAAAGTCTGACGTGTTGAGTAAAAACTGCTATTTTTAGCACATTTTTAGGGCCGACGTGCTGCTACCAGACGTACAGCGTGAGCAGTCAGGTCGCATCCGAGAACTGGGTCGTGCAGTGTGAGCGCATGACTCGTGAGATCTGCTCTGCGAGGAAGTCGTACAGTCTGAGCTGAAGCTGAACGCTGCGAGTGAAAAAGTCGCACAGTGTATGCCGGCTTTAGTCCCTACGCCTCCAGGAGGTCCCTGAGGTCCAGTGACCAAAGCCTACTGGTTGTGCAGCACCAGGCTAAAGGTCAAAGGTGACAGATCATCTGCTGCGGTGGCCCCCAGACTCTGGACCTCTCTCCCCCTGAGCCTGAGATCAGTGGACTCAGTGGTCTCCTTTAAAAAGCAGCTGAAGACTCACTTGTTCAAGCTGGCTTTTGTTTGACCTTCTTCACCTCTCTCTCTTTATTCTGCTCTCCCCACCTATCCCACCTTCCTCAGGATCCACTGGTTTCCCTCTTTCCTGTTCACTCTCTCTCTTTCTTTACATTTTTAATCACAATTGTCTATTTTTGCTCATTTTAAATATATTTTTAACCATTTTCTAAATTCTTTTTATATTTTTACATTTGTTGTTTTTGTGAAGCGCCTCGTGATTTTTATCTTGAGAGGCGCCATAGACATGATATTTTCTTCTTCTTCTTGAGATGACTTGTGTTGTGAATTGGTGCTGAAGTTGAACTGAACTCCACCTGAGGCAGAAGCTCATTTCCATCCTTTTCCGTTTGGTTGTGCCCATCTCACATCTTTGTTCAGTTCGTTTAAAAGAAACTTTTTTTAATCCTTTCATCCTTCTCTCGTCTTTGTGTCCAGACTGGTGTTCTGGTTTGGAGATCTGAACTTCAGGATACAAGATCATGGCATGCACTTTGTCCGCTCCTGCATCAACAAGCAGACCTACAGCCTGCTGTGGAGCAATGACCAGGTTTGACCTCTGGAGTGTTTTTGTTAGTGGAGGAATGCTGGTGTCCTTCATCAACGCTGATTGATGAACATGAGAAAGTGTGCTTGATGACATTTTCAGTTGATCATGTTGAAGAAGAAAGAAGCGTTGCTGCAGGACTTTGAGGAAGGACCGCTGGACTTCCAGCCCACGTACAAGTTTGACTTGAACTCTGACACCTATGACAGCAGGTAAGAGTTGGAATCTTTTTGGGAATCCGAGTCTTTTAATTCTGTTTCTCTGAGTTTATTTATGTTTTCACCTGTTTTAACTCCACAGCCTCTACAGGACATGGTTTGACTTGTAGTAAGACCAGAAATACATTCATCTCCCTTAACATGAGCATCCAGATTTGTTTTACCTAACAAGACTTCAGCATGTGCATTTCCTCCTCCTCGGCTAACAGAAGTCTCTGATGGCGTTAGCGTGAAGCCTTAGTTCTGCTTCTGCTTCTAAAACAGGATTCTGGTAGCATGCTAAAAACTAAAAGGACAAGCAGGCAGGATTAACAGCCAGTCTTCAGCTTGGCTTTGCCCACGAAGACTAAAATGCTCGTCTACAGACTGGCAGCTAACGGGTGTCCTACAGCTGGTGAAGGTGTCCATTAGAGTCCGGGGACCCTACATAAAATATGGGTGTTCATATGTCCTATGTACTAAAGCTGCAATGGCAAATCAGCAAAACAAGCTAGCTTTTAAACGAGGTCACAGAACACTCACTCCTCCCATCGGCTATAAAACCCTTGGCTGTGTTCGCCTGAAATTAGAACCTGCATTTCCAGAGGAAACGAGGTGGCGCTAACACCAGTCGCCGTTTTCGATGCCCGCAGTTTCTCTAGGAGTTTGTCCTAAAGTTGAAGTGGTAGCAACCACTCGGCCGCTGTTATTGAGTGGAGAACCTCTCACACCGGTGGTGTTGCCAAATACATGAGTGTGTGATGAGTGGAGGACCAGGGGAGATGTGGTTCGGAGAGACCCACGACCAGACGGTCCAATCGTTGCTTTTTTGACAGAGCTGTGTTATTGGCTGACGGTTGTAGACAAATGCGAGGGAACCACTTCTCTCATTTTTTTGTGTTTTTTAAAGCTCCACAGTAAATGTATAGCTGTGCTATTTTAGAACATTGTTAAGAGACATGAACGCATGTTGCTGCTTCCTGAGTGTTTTTGTACAAATGTAATTGTACAACTCTGAGAACTTCCTTCAGCAAGTCCAACGGCATTAACAGGTTCTGGTTCTTGTATCAGGATTTTACCGGGGGCGTTTTTTAACTGCCACTAGGGGTCACTGTTTCATCATAATCTGAAATGACCATTTCCACATCTAGGTGTAGCACAACTGAACATCTGTTAGCAGCTGCTGCTCCTGTGATTTATACAACCTGACTTTGATCATATTAAACAGACAACATTAAAGGAAGTAGTAAGTAAATGTTATTTCTACAGCACTTATCACAGACAGAGAATCACAAAGTGCTTCACATAGATCAAAACAAAATAAAATCAAAATGCTCTAGAAACAGAATTAGATTAACATCAGAAAAAATAAAGACATAACATCATAAAATTTCATAAACAGATGAAAGATTAAAATTTTGAGCTAAAAATAAGAAAATAAAAGGTTTAGGTAAAAGCAGCTTTAAATAAAAGGGTCTTTAGCTGTTTTTTTAAAAGTGTCCAGACTGTCAACGCTGCGTACGGATAAAGGAAGATCGTTACAGAGTCGGGGCAAAACAGTCTGGAAGGAGCGACCACCTCGACTTTTATATCTGGTCTTTGGAACTTCTAGAAGGTTCTGGTGGGTGGACCTGAGGGCTCGGGTTGGAGCATAAGGCTTTAACAGTTCAGTAATGTAGGGAGGAGCTTGACCATGTAGAGCCCTGAAAGGTCTAGTCAGGACTCTAAAACGGGTAACCAGTGCAGAGACATCAGAATAGGAGTGATGTGAGTTCTTCTGTTTGCTCCAGTTAGGAGCCTCGCTGCAGAGTTCTGGACCAACTGAAGGCGGTCAAGGACTTTTTTGTTAAAACATGTGAAGAGTGTGTTACAGTCATCTAGACGGGAGGAGATAAAGGCATGGAGAACCATTTCAGGTTCATGTTTTGACACCAACCTTCACAGTTTGGAGATATTTCTTAAATGATATAAACTGTTTTGGACCAATGTTGTTGAGTGACCTTCAAGAGACATACACTCTAGTAGCTCAGACAGTTTGTAGAACTCAGAATCCTTAAAGGAGCAGTACAGCTGGATATCATCTGCATATAGGTGATAAGAGACATTATGAAAAGAATCAAGTATCTGTCCAAGAGGGTGTATGTACAGCAGAAACAACAGTGGACCCAAAACAGAGCCTTGGGGTACCCCACAGAACAGATGGGTAGAATCTGACATGATCTGGTTTCTACAGACACCGTAACTTCTGTTAGAAAGGTACGATCTAAACCAGTCTAGACCAGTTCCAGACATCCCCACCGAGTCACCAAGTCTGTTAATGAAGGTGTTGTGATCAACAGAGTCAAAAGCTGCAGAAAGAACTAACAGTACTAACACTGTGAACTCCCCGTTGTCTGCAGCCATCATGATGTCACTGGAAACTTTAAGCAAAGCTGTTTCTGTTGAACACTTTTTACCAAAACCAGACTGGATTTATCAGAACTGTTGTGTAGTTCCAGAAAAGTAATCAGCTGATCTGCCACAACCTTTTCCAATATTTTAGAGATAAAGGGTCATTTAGAAATGGGTCTGTCATTTTTAGGCTGAGATGAGTCCAAACTTGTTTCTTTAAGGATGGGTTCAATAACTGCATGTTTGAAAACAGATGCTACAGAGCCAGATTGTAGGGATAAATGAATAAAATCTACAGTGCATGGGCCAGTTTAGTCAAACATCCAGATTAACAAGGTAGCAGGAATGAAATCAGCAGGGCATGAGGTTGGTTTCATGTGTTTCTGAATGAGGCAAAAACCTGGAAATCTACAGGAGTAAAGACAGACCATGGTTGAGAGGGAGGGGGTTAGATGGGGGGGGGGGAGTAGATGGGGGTGATATTTCTGATTTTATTCTGAAAGAATGCTAGAAATTTGTTAGTCAGACCTTGTGTAAACTGGCATAAGAGGGGCGAGAGGAGAAACAATCTGGTTTATGGTGTCAAACAGAACTTTAGAGTTATTTTTGTTTACAGCAATCAGCTGAGCAAAGTAAGCGGCCCTGGAAGTTTTCACCGTCTCATTCAGGGATATTATCAGTTCTTTAAAGTGCAGCCCGTGACTTTCTAATCTAGTTGACTTCCATCGTCTCTCGGCTTTGCGGCGTGCCCTTCCTTAAATTCAATTCAATTCAGAGATACTTTATTAATCCCAGAGAGAAATTAGAGTTTCAGTACACACAATTCAGAGATCAGACATACGTACAGGCATAGACACATGACAAGAACTGGTGACTGTGGTCATTCGCAACCCTGAGTCGCGCTACCTTAATAGAGATCAGAGGGGTTTACATATGAGGATTGGGTCAGGTGGAGGAAAAAAAAGGCACTTCGGAGTTACCCTCCACAGGGAGGGCAGCTTTGCTCTGCAAGAAACACCAGAAATGCAACAGACTTCAGACATTACACAACATAAGTGTCCACTAGGTGGGGTGGTGGGGTTTGGGACTCTCCACACGTCAGTGCGTGCAGCCGCGATGAGCAGCGCTCGTCACCTCCGTTTGGACAGGGGTGGGAGGTCGTTGGGTTAGAGAGCACAGTGACTCCTGGAACGATTCAGCTGCCTTCACAGCTCGCAGTCCCGCCCAGGCTGGGATAGGGAGACAGAGTTGGCATGGTGACGGCAGCATTCCACATTTATTCGGGGGGGGGGGGATGTTTCAGCCTCACAGGCTCAAGGGCACCAGATTCAGATAAGAAATTGTTTTGGGGCCAGACAGAGATAATTTCTTCTCTGTCTTAAAGTTCCGTTGGTCCTCAGCCTCTCAAAATCCAATAATGCCGTAAATTAATCAATCCCAATCCGTGCTGATCCGTCCACTCGCTCCTTGATCGCATCCATCTTTTGTGCCAATCTATGAATCTCAGCCAAAGTTCCAAGCTTACGACTCATCTCGACAATTATATGAGTCTGTGCGTTCACAGCGCGGTATAATCTATCCCTGAGCTCCGGCAAAGAGCCAATATTCCTTGACAGCTTGTTGATTTTCCGTTAAGCCAGGAGGCCTCCCAGGCCAAAAAGCAAGAATCCTGACACCAACACCACGAATATCCAGACGTCTTCAGAATCCTCTACAGACAGTTGAGAGAGGCAGATCAGGTTCCACTGTTTCCAGGAGTCCATGATATACCCAGCTGGCTCTGTCCCAGAGGGACACCCGGGAACCCCTTCTCCCGCTCTCATCATTAAAAAATGTTGTCAATAGCGTTGAGAGACCAACCGACCAGGTCCATTTTAGTAATTTCAGTTTCCAGTATTCCAGAAAAAATGCAGAAGCGCCGTGCACCCAAAGACAGACAAAGAGCCTTGGGATAAGATAGGGAGGAGAGGAGGAAAAAAGCGTCTGAACTCTCCAAGAGCCGGAAGAAGAAGGTGACTGTGAATGTTTTGATTGATCCAGGGACTTTTCTCTTGCTAGAAAAAGTTATGTGCTTAACAGGAGCTACTTTATCTAAGATACTGCAGCATTGTTTATCCATTATTCGGGACGCCCCAGCGCGTCAGGAGACGACGTTCAGGGACATGTGGCTCCGCTGGCGTCACTGTTTTACGAGCGCGGTCACACGGACATTATTCGACTATTTAACCTTACCCTCACCCCAATCCTAGGTTAAGGAGTTCACAAGTACTTCTAATGTCCGTCTCAGCACTGGCGTCGGATAGCGACGCTCTGGGACGGTGCGTCAGCAGTTTGTCCCTGATCATCGTCTCCTGATGCGCTGGGGCGTCCCGAATCGTCATATATTGAGGCTTGGTCGCGCGTCATATTTTGACGCCTTGGGTGTGAGACGCCATTCTGTCGGCCTACGTACCCTTGGCAGAAGTCCCCGTTAGATCAGGAATGTCGAGGTCCAGCTTGACCTTCTCTGGAACCGAAGCCGGTAGGAAAAGTAGCGGTTGCCGACCAGACCAGTCTTGAGATACTTCCGGGTCACGACAGTTTTGTTGGCATCTAGCGAGACCCAAAAAAGGGTCGTGATGGTTCAGCTTTTATTCTGAAAGGAACCGTTGCAGCAGGTGGAACAGCAACAGATTTTATCCAGCTTGTCGGTGGTTCTTTCGGCTGAAGAGGAAAGTTACGGATTGGCCTCTCCGACAACTTCTCTAGAACGCTTTGATCTGGAGTTAAAGATGACGTGGGCATAGTTTTATAACTCGGTTGTTTTGATTTACGGTCGAATGAAAAGGGACAGCTTTACCAAGCACCACCAAAACCACGCCTCCGTCAGATCTGGAAGATTCTGATTGGATCAGAAAAAGGATCGTGTGACTTAACCTTACGTGTGATCAGTCTCTAGTGGAAACATTTAACGTTATATTGCTTATTAAAATCTACTAATCATAAACATTGTCATTTCACAGATTGGTTCACATCTTATTACTGAGTAACACTTTGTTTGATTAGCTTTATTAAAAATAGAGTTCTTTGATTTATTAAAAAGAAAGAGTCCTTTGTCTTCATTCTTCTCTGGAGCTGGAAAGGAGAAACAGTTTAGAAGCAGATGCATGAGACCTTGAGCAATATCTCGTGCAGATTAGTTCTTCCTGAGGAGAGAAGGTAAATAACCTTCGGTGGAACAGCTCCTTCATCACGTTACATGGGATAAACGTACTGACTCAACATCCTAATGTTACGTGTTTACTTCGTTTGTAATGTTAACTAAACCCTCTCCTCTTCTCGCTGTCCATCGACCCTCTGTGACTGCCTCAGTGGGAAGAAGAGGAAACCCGCCTGGACCGACAGGATTTTGTGGCGGGTCCAACCCAAAGCTCCTTCCCCTGAAGAGCAAGGTGAGAACTGTGTTGGGATCAGTCAGACGAAGATGAAGCAGTTGGAAGAGGATGAGGAGTACCCTCTGAAGGTCAGACAGGACTTTTACACCAGCAGCATGGAGTACAGGATCAGTGATCACAAACCTGTCATCGGCATCTTCACGCTGGAGGTGAGAACGGTCATCACAGAGTCATGACATCATTTCGTCACTGTCCCGGCTACGCTGATGAAACTGCTGTGATCAGAGCTGTTACGGACTTGTTGTAGTTATTTAAACCCAACAGCCAAACCGTTTTTAAACATTCTGATGTCCTTGCAGCTCAGGAAGATGTACACGTCCCCTCTGGTGCGTCTGCAGGCTGAAGGTGACTGGAGCGCTGACATGGACTCCATGGTCCTCTGCTGTCCCGTGCAGCCATTCCCCTCCAGTACCTGGGACTGGATTGGACTCTACAAGGTCAGCTCTTTTCCCCCAGCTCTTTATCCTTCGTTGTCTCGGTCCTGATTATGATGTGTCTGAGTTTCAGGTTGGATTCAGCAGTGTGTCTGACTACATCACATACGCGTGGGTGAAGGACGGTGAGGTGGCTTTTAACCAGGAAGTGACCCAGGTAGAGGTCCAGGAGTGCAGAACAGTTTGTTCTCATCTGACGAACCTGCAGATGATTTGACTCTGTGTGTTTTTAGGTGTTCTTCAGTAAAGAGGAGATCCCAGTGAGAGGAGCAGAGTGTGTTCTGTGTTACTACTGTCATTCTCTGCGCTGCATCATCGGCGTCAGCGAGCCATTTAAAGTGAGTTAGCAGCAAAATGAAACACGGGTTTGTGGCAGAGCTGCAGATGAGCACGTGTGTGTGTTAACAACGCCAAGGAGGACAGACATCAGCACTGACCCTAGAGAGGCCACTGGTACTAGCCAGCAATCTGGGAAGGGTCAAAGGTCATTTCCAAACAAGAACACATTTCAGACAGATCCCAAACGCAGCAGAAGTCCAGAGTCCAGACCTGAAGCTGTAGTGGGACCTCAGTAAACGTTATAAAGGATCAGATCTTGGTTAAATAAAATATCTGTGTGTGTGTACAGTTTTCAGCCACAGATTTAACGAGGTTGTATTTATCTAACGTAAGGATTTAGGTAGCTACAGTAGTAAACGTTAAAGTGGACTGATCCTTCTGTAAAAACTGATCAAATCTGTTTTTCTCTTCTAGGTTCATGAGTCTAAGGTGGCCTTAGAGGAGGGGCTGCTTCTGGGGAGGATGGACTGACTTCAGAATACAGGAAGTGACATTATGAACTAAGCGTTCGGACGTTATGGACATGTAAGAAACATCCAGCTGTTCAATCCGTTAACAACATTTGGGTTTTTGATGAAAGAAAAGAAAGAATAAGGATCTGAGCGAGCACTCGTCCATGCCAACCTCCACAGTTCCTTCCTCTGGTCTGTGTGTGTGTGTGTGTGTGTGTGTGTGTGTGGGGGGGGGGGGTAAAGGTTAGCTTGGAGATGCTGGTCGAGGTAACAAATTCTTTATGACGTCCACAAGCCTGCCGCTGCATGAGAGCAGCTCAGGGAGGTCGAAGCCCTCCGACCCAGCAACAGTCTGGATCTGGACAAGCGTACCTCGAAATGAACAAAGCTGATTGGCTGTTGTTGTTTACATGGCATCGTGGCTACATCTGCCCGTACATAACGATTTTCAGAGTTCAGAATACCCAACCAGCACTGCTTTCAGTGAGGTTTGTGTTTGAGCCCGTTAGTGAGTCCGATCCAGGAAAAGCCTTTTCAGTCGCTGCACACGTTTCATTCGCTCCTCTTGCTCGGCTTTAAGCGTTAAAACATCAAAGATTTAAACTTCCATCACCTCACGTTAATGTTCAAGTGTGGTGGACTCGGATCCAGAACCTCCTCAGCAGATGGGACCCAGAGCTGAGAAGGGACCAGAACACAGCCGAGCTGTCGGTGATTTCCATGTTTGCTGTAGAAACTTCACTCGACAGCTCTTGCAGAACTTGTGAGGAGCTGCGGAGCGTAAACTTGTCAGAACCACAAAGTTCTAAAGGAACTTCAGAACTTTCCTTTTGATCATAGAAATGTAATCACAGTAAACCTGAAGGCGTATTGCACTGTTTATGGTTAATAAAGATGTAAATGTTTTTATTCAGAAGCATAGTTAGTTTTACCGGATTCAGGAAGTGCCTTTATGATGATTTTCTGTACTGTACTGTTTGCTGCTTGAGTGATACGTTTGACTTTATGAATCACATGACTAGGTTTTAGGTTGTTGATTTTAAATGTCTGCTGTCCGATGCTACTGCTAGCTCACTAGAATAAGTTATTTAGGTCACTGTTCTTACTATTTTCTGTACTGTAACTAAATAAATGTTAAACATGTCTAACGTCTGCTTTGGTGTGTGTGTGTGTATGTGTGTGTGTATATACACACACATATATAGTATATGTGTGTATATACACACATATACTATATATGTGTGTGTATATACACACATATATATATTATATGTGTGTATATACACACATATACTATATATATGTGTGTATATACACACATATACTATATATATATGTGTGTGTGTATATACACACACACATATATATAGTATATGTGTGTGTGTATATACACACATATATATAGTATATGTGTGTGTATATACACACACACATATACTATATATATGTATATACACTATATTCATATATATAGTATATATATGAATGAATAAAATCTTTATTTCAAACATAATAACAAATTTATTGTAGACATTCAAAATAAATTCACACTGATAATCACAGAAAAATTAAATTTTTTCTCGGCACTCAGTAAAATAACGACAGAGAGAGCAGGCCAGCTTCATATTTAGCGAACTTAAAAAGTTGTCTTCAAAGGAACTTGAAAATGCTTGTTTTACTATTATATTCTACTAGGTTATAAAAAATGATATAAAACATTTATTGGTTAACATCCGAGAACAACAGTATACTTAATTTGAATAAATTTAACAATAGACTTACCGTGTTCAGCAAAGAGCCCTTTCCCCAATTCAATTCAAGTTTATTCATAAAGCGCCAAATCACGACAAGAGTCGTCTCAAGGCACTTCACATAATAAACATTCCAATTCAGGTCAGTTCATTAAGCCAATCAGAAATAATGTGTCCTATATAAGGAACCCAGCAGGTTGCATCGAGTCACTGACTAGTGTCAGTGACTATACAGCAATCCTCATCCTAAGCAAGCATGCAGCGACAGTGGAGAGGAAAACTCCCTTTTAACAGGAAGAAACCTCCAGAGAATCCTGGCTCAGTATAAGCAGCCATCCTCCACGACTCACTGGGGATGGAGAAGACAGAGCACACACACACACACACAAACACATAGAAAATGGCGGATGAAACAAGCAAGCAGCAAGTATTTTAAACGCCACTCCTCGAAGGGGGCGGAGTTCACTCCTAAACATGATTCGAACATGGAAGTCTGCAGCCGCAGACGAAACGTAGCGTGAGAAAACAGGTAACGAAACTGTTTCTGTGTTTTAAATATAAGAACGACAACATGGAACATGATCCGAACATGTTTCAACGTGAAAAATACACTTACTTCTAACAACATCAAGGAATATGCTAAGTGTTTAAGACTTTGTTATGTTAAAGCAAGAAACAACGAAAATACCATGCTAGCTTTGTAAAATATATATGTGTATATATATATATATATATATATATATATATATATATATATATATGTCAAGTTCACAATCCCATTTCCCCTTTTTATCAGTGTAGGAGGAAGCTGGTGCTTATTAAATCCTACCTCCTTTGGCACAAAACATAATACAGTGAACTAATGAGCAAAAAATATTGATATATAAACATAAAAACATTATAATAATTGCATATATTTATGTAGATATAAAACATAATAATAATGATAAGGTTAAATAATAAAAAAATGAAAATAGTAGTAATAAAATGTCCCCTCTCCCTTTACAGTTTGTTCTCCAACTGTCACATCACCCAGCAATCTGATAATATATCTTTACTGTCTGCTTAAGACTTGGTTACATCCATGTACTGTAGCAATAGAGATTTTTATTTACATTTTTAAATGCCTCATATTAATACAGCGTTTCAAGTCCTCATCCATACCACAGATTCACTCCACACACAGCGGTGCACATTTTCCTCATAGTTGTTCTTGTTTTATGTTTTAAAACGGAGTTCTCCCCTTAAGCCTCTGGAGGCAGGTGTTGCAGATTAGCAACGTTAAAACCTACCTACCTGGTTACTCCACGTACGTGTTTCATGAGCAACTCAGAAGTTCCCCTGAAGCGCTCAGTTGTTCGTCCTTTTATCAACACTTATTTTGAGCCTGAGACGGTTAACTCACATCCCCCTTTTCTTTCAGAGAATATTTTTGTAATTTTCAGTTAACAGATTAAATCTTGCTCTGTACATTATCTGCCAAGTTTAGAATTTGACAAGATCCCCTAAATTTTAGTATGTTTGAATTAAAAAATTGTTGTTTTATTTTCTCACTCAGCAGTTTCATTCATCATTCATGCAAAATACAATCATCAACAGTCTCCTACGTGAAAAAAAGGGGGAGGATGAAGGTCTTGTATGACCTACCCCTTTCTACTTCATGCAATACAATTTACAGAATGGCCTTTTACACAAACCAAAGTATAGAACGTCCTTATCTTTGCAAACTAAATCGCAATAAAACGTATCAATATACTCATTCAATATTTACTTATCACTCATAGGATTCTGTGATTTCTTTCTTTATATAGTCTCTTAAATTGATCGGTAGTTAAACATTTTTTCAGGTCGTGATCCAGATTATTCCATAATTTTACTCCATAGACTGAAATACACATTTGCTTTAATGTTGTTCGTGCAAAAACTCTTTTAAACTCGGGCTTCTTTCTATTTTTCCATCATTTGACATCAAAACAAAAAACTTCTGTAACTTCACTGGCAGAAACCTCTTTTTTGTCCTGAACATAATTAGTAAAGTTTTCAAATTAACCAAGTCCCTGAATTTCATCATTTTTGATTCAATAAAAAGTCTAGTGGTATGTTCTCTAGCATCTACTTTATATATAATTCTCATAGCTTTCTTCTGGAATAAAAACAAAGGATTAGTGTTTGTTTTATGTGTGTTGCCCCAAACCTCTATACAACAAGTCAAGTATGGAACAATAAATGAATAATATAATATATGAAGTGTTGGTGACTGCAAAATACTTTTTGCTTTAATTAAAAGTCCAGTACTTTTACACAGTTCTTGTGTTATATATTTTTATTGGGGTTTCCAATTAAGTTTATGATCCAAGATGACCCCTAAAAATCTTCCTTCATTTACTCTTTCAACCGAAGTACCATCTATGGACAATGTAACAGAATCATCTGTCTTCCTGTTACCAAAAATCATGAATTTCGTTTTATTCCAATTTATAAATAATTTATTGTCCATAAACCACTTCTTAAGTTTAGTCATCTCACAATCCATATTTTCCAAAATAATTTGTAAGTCATTCCCAGAACAAAACACGTTTGTATCATCAGCAAACAAAATGAACAGTAATATTTTGGACACATCACAAATATCATTAATATACAAATTAAAGAGCTTAGGTCCCAACACAGAACCCTGTGGGACTCCATATGTAATAATTTGAGAATCTGAAATGTCATCTTCTGTCTGTACAAATTGATTTCTTTTAGTCAGATAACTACTTAACCAATCATGAGCTATCCCTCTTATCCTGTAATCCTTTAACTTAGAAAGTAACAAACTATGGTCTATGGTATCAAATGCTTTTCTTAAATCAATAAACAGACCTGCTGTGTATTGCTTCTTTTCAATTGCTGCTGTAATTTCTTCATTTAATTCTAGTAATGCCAAGGATGTAGATTTATTAGATCGAAATCCTTACTGACTGTCACTCAGCTGTTTATTGTTTTTAATAAAGTTGTCTAGTTTCTGAATGAACCATTTTTCAAGCACTTTAGAAAACTGGGAAAGCACTGAGATTGGTCTGTAATCATCAAAGCTGTGTCTATCACCGTTTTTAAATATCGGAATTACTTTTAGCGATTTTCATTATTTCTGGAAATATACCATTCTGAACAGACAAATTACAAACTTAAGTAAGTGGTTTAACAACATACTCAATTGTTTTCTTTACTGTAGTCATGTCAATCCCATGACAATCAGTAGATGTTTTATTTTGACTTTACTATTGCCAATATTTTATTTTCACTTACATCTCCCAAAAATATAGACTGTAGAATTCTACTCCCTCCTTGTATTTTTACATCTTCCTTAATTTTTGTTTCCATAGATTTGGCCAGACTTGGCCCTATGTTTACAACAAATGAATTAAATTCATTCACCACCTCACTTTTATCCCTCAGAACGTCATCTCCTTTAATAAAGTAATCTGGACAATTGGCGTGAAAAGACCTAGGTCTTGCAACGCTGTTCAAGATTCTCCATGTTCTTTTCATATCACCTTTACTTTCCTTCAACCTTAAATGATAATGTTTTTTTTGCTTGCCTTATTATTGTTGTCAATTTATTTTTATAAGTCTTATACTTCATTTCTGTGCTTTTAGATCAAAGTCTGACAAAATCTCTACGTAATTTATTTTTTTCTTACAGGATTTTAGTAGTCCCTTAGTTAACCAAGGTTTTACAACAACATTTTTCTTTTTTTTTTACATGTCAGTATTGTGCAATTCTTATAAAGGGTTGTATATGTTTTTAAAAATGTATCATATGCTATGTTCACATCCTTAACATAAACCCCACTCCAGTTTTCCTTTAACAGGCCATTACAAAATGTTGTTACTGCTTCCTCTGACCTTATTCTAATATGCTTTATCTGTTCAACTTATTTGGTTGTTTTTTTTATTTGACTATGATGTATTATGAATATTGGTAGGTGGTCGCTTATATCACTTATTAAAAGACCACTATTAACTGCCTTATGTGTTTCATTTGTATAAATATAGTCAATTAGTGTAGCACAGGTCCTGGTAACTCTGGTTGGCTTAGTAATCACAGGATATGAACTCCTACTGGACAATGCATCTACAAAATCTGTAGCGGTTTTGTGGTTTTCTTGGTTAAGTAAATCAATATTGAAATCTCCACATATTAACCAGGTTTTCTTGTCATTTAACCCATCTAAGATTTTCACACCTTTCTCTAAAACATTCAGTTTTAGAACCTGGTGTTCTATAAACACAAGCTACTATAATATTTCTTGTTTTATCCGTCTCGATTTCAACAGCTACACATTCCATCACATCTTCCAAGGCTACTGACACACACTCTACTATTTTACAATTCAAGGAACTTTGAACAT